GCGCAAATTTAAACTGAGCATAATTTGATTAGGCAACATAATGTATTCTACTAAAAAATTGTGTTTTCATATACGCGGTGACAGACTATAAACTGGGCTTTAAAGAGCAAGCAGCTCACACCCACATGCGCAAAAGTCAAAACATACAACTGAAGGTTATTAATGCTGATATATAATATAATATGTTGGCGTTGTGTAATTTCATATTTTTCACGTGGAAGTGAACTTGCGGCGTAGTTTGTCAGCCAATGTATTAATACGCGGCACACATATCCACGCATATAAATGCGTTAATTAATAGACACATACACGCAAAGCGATTAGTGAACTCGAAATTCGCCACTTCAACATTGAAGCAACTAATTTAGTTAGCAATGCCACTGCCATTGCGGTTTTATTTCTGCTTTTTTGCACTTTTTGTGTGCAATGATTGGAAAATTGGTAATGGCGGCGCAATAAGCACGCATACATGCACATTATTTTAATTTACATTATTATTTATTAATTGGTCGCTTTTTATTACATTTTTCCAATATTACATTTTCATCATTACAGCATAACACAGCGTACAGCGCCACAGCAGCGATCGGCTGAAGTGTGTTTTAAAGCAGGAAACATTCCTTGGATTTCATATTCAAGCTTGAATTAAATCTTATTTTACAAAAACAAAATACAACAAATTCATGTCATACCTATATCATATTTTTAAAATAATAAAATAATAGAATGGTTTGTATCTTTGACCTTTCAAATATGATGCGCACAAAAACAGTTTTCTTTATTTGTTCGTCAGAGAATATTTAACAAATCGCTAAAACTTTAAAAATTTTTTCGTCTTGGAAATTCCGGCTCAATGCTTTATGTAGCTTTTAGGACCATGACGCGGATTTGTATATGTATAATAATTTCAAAGTGCGACACCTTATATAATGTTCCAACAAAAAATTTAAAGTCATTAAATTATATTTATTCTATTCACTAATCTAGACTGTTCCTACTGCCGTTGGAGGTATATAAAACAGCTGTGTTTGACTAGCCGATCGAAGCTGTGGCATTTGTGCGCGTTACAACTCTATTTAATGGGCTTCAGTTGCCTCACTCTGACAAACAGCTGGCGCTAAATCAGAGTTGCACGGGGAAGTAGATTAGCTTCAAATTTCCGAGGTATTAAGATTGAAGAGTGTCAGTTTTGTCGAAATCTTGCTAAATCTAGTAGATGAGTGAGATAATCTACTCAACAGCTTAAACCTCATGATTAAGTGGGGGTCGCAATATTATTAGATACCAATTTTCATTGAGAAGTTCTGTATATTGGTTTGGTGTTTTTTTTTTAATATGAGATTTACATAATGTCAAATTTTATGACAGTTACAGCGAAAACAATAAAACGGGTTGCCAAATAAATTAATAAAAATTTATGAAAAGACTTTTTGAGCACAATCAGAAACTTTGTAAAAAAGTAATATAAACATTTCTGTTTGCTAGTGTCAAAATTGTCAAATTAACGACATAGAATTTGACATAGCGAAAACCGCATATTAATCTGTAAATTTACCATTTCCATGTAGCAAATATTAAATTAATATTTTAAAGATGTTTAAAGAGACGGTAAACGGTATTTGCGAGAAAATTCTCCAGCGCAATTTAAAACTTTAATTTTTGGTTAAAATATTAAACTAAATCATTCCAACTCTTAGATATAACTTGATCTTAATATGGTATGCATTCAATACTCGAGAATAGAGTGTTACTTTTTTTATAATGCTATGAAAATATTTCTTCTTTTAGGATATATCTCTTTCCACAATTTTAAGTTTTTCCACAATTTCAGAATTTCGAATTATGCGTCTTTTGGTTAACAGAAATAGAGCCACACAGCTATACTTGTATTCATACTTGCACACCGATATAAATTTTAAGTAAAAGCAAACCAAGTGAACTCAGCCAGTAAACTGAAATCTGATTGCAGTAAAAGCCGCAAATTTCATGCAAGACAAGAGGCTGAGCGCCGTAGCTGCAGTAATTAATCCCATTAAAGCTTGGAAAATGAAATGTTCAAATGACGGGGTAATGAAATATTTAACCGCATGAAATTTCGAAAAATTGCGCTTTGACTCCGCAATAATTGAGCTAAGCCGTAAAATCGTCCATCAAAGGATAACCATGAGTAAGCCCCGCTGAGCTAATCAGGATTTTTACTTAAAGTATGGCACCGTAGCATGTGCAAGTATGCACTTGTACAAGCGAGTGCCATTACAGTTGTAAAATGTATGCATAAAGCGTGCAACAATGCCACGGTAGCCATTAAGACCGAACAATGTTGTAGTTATAGACCGACACGGATTTCTACCTTCATTTGCGAGCTGCGGAGAGAGCCGTAAAGCGAACGCCTATAAAACACGCACACATACATACACGCACGCAAACCCATTTCCTGTAATCGATTTTTTAATTTTTCCAAAATGCCCCGCAACCTTTACACTATATGCGTATAGAAATGTATAGGTCAGTATGGAGAAGAGACGGTGAGCAGTGAAGACTGAAGTCAGCCGATATCAGGACGAAAATTAAATTGGAATTGATGTGGTGCCATTATATGCATGCATTCACAAATGTCTGGCATATTCGCACAGACACACACACACACAGTGATATGCGCCAATACATGTCAGTCGTGGCCAATACACACACACATACGAGTAGGTATGTGCATGTGGCAATATGGAGTTTAGCGCTCGCGCGACGCATAAATTACAGATGGCAAATTACAGATTAGGCAATTTAACTTCCAATTGAAGCGCTCTGCTGCTGCGGCCCAACAACACTCACAGCAATATGCAAGTATGTGTGCTTGGGTTGGTGTGGACCTTTGTCCTTCGTTCGATTGCGAAATGCAATTGCGGCAAATGCCATGCGTCTGTGTGCATTCGTATGTGTGTGTATGTGTGTGTTTGTAATCGCTCGTATTAGAGAGCAAACGTTGACTTATTTGTATTTGAATGTGTAGGCTGAGCATTTGTATTGGCGAATATATGCATGTGTGTGTAATTTGCGTCTAATTCGTTTCCGATCTGCCAGCCTCTGCTTCGGCTGCATTATTCACTTCAATGCTCATGTAAATATCGGTGTTTCTGTATATTTTAAGCCCAAGTATGGCACATCACACGGCGAGGAGTTATTTTGCTTGCACGACAGCTGTTAAAGCAACAGATACAGCACTCACTTATTTCAGTTAGAAATTGTATTATATAGCAACGTAACACAAAGCAATAGCTGCGTCCCCAGTTTAATAAAAAGTAGTTTTTGAATTTGAAAACTTTTTTTTTTGAAAATCATAGACCCATTTTGATTCAAAAAGCTATAATTTTTAATTATTAATTCTTATTTCTGAACAATATTTTGTTAGGGTAATTACTTAAGTGTTTAAATATATGACGAGACCTATGCTTTAGAGAAGATCAGACGTAATTGAGAACTCATCTTACCTTTTTGATAAGAATAAGTCTAAGTTGATATTTTTTATAATCTTAGTCAGTCACCTAATTTTTTTATATCTAAGATTCTATTTATCGAAAACTAAAATAAATAGGTCGTCTAGATACTGTCGTATGTAAGGCATTCATGGTGACGTGCATTAGTTATAAGCGGTTGCAATTTTAAATCACACATGCAAAGACTAGTTTGGAAATTAAAGCAAGAAACATTCCTTGGATTTCATATTCAAGCTTGAATTAAATCTTATCCAATATTTTCAAGTCCAAAACCAAAACGACAGATATTTTACAAAAAATTCATGTCATATACCTATAATATATAGGTACATATGTATATAATTTCCAAGCCTTTGTTTTATTCTCTATAAAAAAACTTAACTTCAAAAAAGTAGAATTTTAAAAAGTTTTGAATTTTGAAAAATTTTAATTTGTAAAATTTTAAATTTCCAAAAACATTGAGTTTTGAAAAATTTTGAATTTTGAAATTTGTTTTATTCTCCATAAAAAGTTTTGATTGTATAAAATTTTGAATTTTGAAAAGTTTTGGATTTTGAAAAATTTTGAAATTCGAAAAATTTTGAATTTTCAATACTTTGAATTTTGAAATTTTTTTATAAATTTTCCATACGTACTTATATATATGTATTAAATTTTAACTTAGCTCACTGTCTGCTCATATGAGAATGTACAAATGCCTACACATGTGAGTGCATGCATTTGAGCATGCGATTTCTAATTTCCCGCTTTGCTGGGCATTAAAAGGGGAAATTTTCATAGCACACAATTGCGTTTTGATTGCGGTTGAACTTAAAAACAGCACATCGCTGATTACATGTTTCATTGCTCGGCTGTTGGTATCGGTAACTGTAAATATTTAAGTAAATACTAACAAGATCCCTTTTCATGCTGTTTCGATAACTGTTCAGGTGAAGACTTTCCAAAAGAAGTCGATTTGTAACAAAGAAAAATAAATTTGAAATAAAATATTTCATTCTGTTGACGAGTTTACAATTTTTTTTTTAAATAGTAATAGTTAAATAGTAGTTTTTTCTGTAAAAGTAAATATATTTATGAATATGGATACAATCAGACTAGACTTTGAAACGCGACTTAGAAAACTAGTAGAATTTGTAGATTCTCCATTTTCAAGGCAGAAAAATAAGTCTGCCTACATACAAACATTTAGTTATTACTAAACTTTTTATCTGTAATAAAATATTATTGCCGTACATTGCTTTTTGCCTACATGTATGCTTTAAAAGCGCATAACATTATGTATTCACTGGTCCGCAAAATTCCCGGTTTTATTGCCGTGAAATATGCACTCATGGCTGTGTGTCAGCTGACCTGCCACCACATTGTCTCTCACGTTGGCATTCGAAAGCAAAAACAGTTGCACGACGCGTACTTACTTTATGACAACCACTGTTCTGGAATCGTGCGGCAAGCAACTGTTCGTATCACCTGATGGATGCACCGTTTTATGGGTAATAAAACACATGTTGATTATTTTTTTATATTCTCCTATATATATGGGATTTACAGCTCATATATACGTTAATTCTTTCATTCTTTATTTTAATTCGCATTTCCCTCGTGTGGTTTGTGTATTTTGTTTCATTATACATATTTTGTTTCGTTTTCTTATTGTTTTAGGTTTTTATTTCAAAGAAAAAAGTCTTTGGTTTACCATACAGTTACAAATACAGATGCATAAATACATACACATAATATTTAATTTCGCATTTACTTTTTACATATACATATACGTATATAATATATACTTAAACAGCTATTATAAACTAGATTATTAGTCCTTAATGGTTTCTTACATATGCATGAATGATATAAGTTGCGGTATATGTATAGGTGTGTGTGTGTGTGTGTTTGGGTGATATGTGTGTGTATATATGCGCTAGTGTTTCACTGCCTCTACTCAGTTGCAGCAGCTATGCTAGTGTTAATATGTGTGTGTTGATATGTAAGTGTGGATATGTGTGTGTGTGTTTACATTCTCGTTCGAAGCTGCGGCGTTGAAACCGCCTGGCTAGCCTACATTCAGGCGCCATTCGGTCACGAGTTGTGGTGTTGTTTGTTGTGTGTTGTCTCGCCACATTGGCATGAAAATATGCAAGTGTGTTTGTAGTTGTTATCCGTTTCCGTTCGTATATATTTAGTAGGTGCTTTAATGCTTCGCTTTCGCTCGCCAAACACTTTTGGATATGAGACAATTTACAGCGACATTGCGCCACGCTTTGTTCACTTACAACGGACTTTGATAACACATCAACACATATTTCTACAAATTTACAAGCTTCAAACGATTTGGAAAATAAGTTTTGGGAGTCTATGTGTGTGTGTTTGTATGTACAAATGAGCGCTTTAGCGGGAGCACAGCAATTACTTTACATTCATAATTATTTACAAACGCATATTGACTATCAACTGTTTACAGGTGTATTGATTTTGTTTGATTAGTTGTAACTTTTAAAATTATTGTAATACTTTTGTAATCATTTTTTGAGCGCAAGAAATAGCGAGCGTCGGTTTTGCTTTCTTCTGTGATTTCTTAGTTATTACTTTTATACACACATTTGTTTGGAATTTATACACTGAGGGGGGTATTTATCGAGTCACAATAATTACTTGTTTCTTGTTTCATTTTTGGTGCCTTGTGGGTTGCTCTCAAGCACATAAGTCTATGAATTTATTTTATTTTTATGGTTTCGTTTTCAAATTACACACATGACACATTTAATTGTGGCCAACTTTACACTAATATGCGCTAGCTTTTTACACAAGATACGAGAAAGTTCGGCATCAACGGCTTGTAGTGTTAGTGCTAAGTCTGTTAGGATTTGCAGGAATATTTATTTGCGTTTTTCTTTTGTTTTTGCCTTTTTATTGTACTGTAGGCATATGTGTGTCGCTGTGTAAATGAATTTGATTCATGATATCTTTACTTATTTATATATTTTCGTATGCAAATTTCGATTAGGTCTTTGCTTGTATCTGTTGGTCTGTGTCTGTGCGATCTGTATGCCGTATTTTTATTTACGTTTATTGCCTAAACTCGGCCCGATTTCTTGCACTGAGCCATAAATTCTTGCGGTTACCATTTCATATATTCCACAGACACCCACATACATGCCTATTGCTTTGCCTGCATGTAAGTGTGTTTGTGTGCATCAGTCTCGTACTTTACGCTGGCTTTTAACGCAATTCACACAAAGCTAAACTAACATTTGCTGTACTTAAGCTACGTACAGACACAAGCTATGTCATCATACTCACTCTTCAGCGTTGCGTTATGCTCAGGTTTCCTACTTTCAAATGTCTTCCTCTACTTTTTCACACACACACATGCCTCACAAGTGTTTGCCAAAGCACGCACTTATGCCGTTCTGTGTTATTATTATTACACTAGATCCTTTCAAGTACTAAGTATGCTATAAAAATATTTTATTTTATACATTTTATCATCTCTTTTGTATTTTTACTTTGCTCAACTTCTCATTCTAACTTGCATACAGTTGCGTGTGTAAATTTTGTATATTTACCTTCTGAAATGTACATCTGTCGCTAGTTATGTTTTATGTGGATTTTTCTATGAAATTGTTTGTATGTATGTACATGTGTCCCTTAACTGTGCTGCTCGCACTTTTCATACTTTTCCTGTTTGCTCGTCAACTTTGAAACTATGTATTTAATAAAATGAAATAAACTAACTTCGCTTTAATTAAATTACAGCGCTGTACTTACTCTCGAAAGTGTGTATAAAAATATAAAAAGAGTCAACTATCGCTTTTAATTTGTTTACTTTTCAACAGTTCACCTCGCTTACGAATAATGTTCCTGCTGTACATAACAGCTACACTTAGATATTGTGTTTGTGCAACTGTAAACTTCATCTTCTACATATCTACTACAGGTATTCTGCTTAGTTTTAATAGGAATCCAATTCGGCAGTAGTTAAAGAGTAAGTGAATGCAAAGTGCAGACAGTGCCGATTGCCAATGATAAGTGAAAGCTTTTAGAACTTTAATGACAAAAGACATAAATGCTATGCATATTCATATTCGAAAGCTAATTCAATTTAAAGATTATTGAAAGTTGACTATGATTTAAATGGCGTAACTCCGTTTAGTTAGCAACCACTTGCCCAATATGAGAAATTTATGTACATATAAACACATTAAAATTGAGTGAAGTTTTGCATTTGGTATAAAAGCGTACATAAAAAGTTGAGATATGGTTTCTGTGCACAACACAATGCCAGGCTGTTATATTCCCACCAAATGCTTAACTATTTAAGCGACTGTATTCGTGGACTTTATGGCTTCAAAGCTTAAGAATTTTCCGACAAATAATATTTTTTTTTATTTAATCGTTAGATTGTCAGAATATGCCATCTGCATCAATAACATCAAAAATTCCAGAATTCCTTTCAAATAGTACTCGTATAAATTATGCCGAAATCAAAACTTGCTGTTTTCAAGTTGATCTTCTGAATATGAATAAAATTATGACTTCCGCTTTGTAAACATGAATTATTTCCGTTACCTAAAGCAGCTCTATACAAATTCACTTATCATTGGTCTGCAATTCAAATGACTGGCCCCGTACTCATTATGTAATGTGAAAAATATATAAAAAAAATGCAGAAATCTGAAAAACTTTGTTTGAAAAGTATGCAAATAAAATGCAAACAATGAAGCAACAAAAGTACTTTGATTGCAAAATTAATTGTTTTCCAACTTACACTGCGCTTCGGACTTTTGTTGCTTTCAACATCACACGAACATTTAGCGCAAACATTGCCGAAAGTTTACTTGCCGCATTTTAGGCGCGCTCAATGGACTTCAGAATTTTTGTTGCCACATGAATTTCCAACTGAGCGCCAAATGTTTAATGTTTAGTTTTTCAATACTATTCACCACTTTCAGTCAATTTGCGGCGACTTTTTTTACTTCAGTGTTTTCTATTACATTTTCATTTCCACAAATTTTTTTTTTTTTTTTTAACTTCCGTATTTTTATATCTTTTCACAACTTTGAAACACTGCGACTGTTTTTAATGTCACTTATTTTTACTTTTTATGTGATACTTAACTACGTACTGCTCTTACAATTTTAGTTGATATTAATTATTTACATTAACCCTAAAAGTATACTTGTAGTTATGCATTCGAAATTCATTTATCATGTGACTTATGCATATATTATTTTAAATATATATATTTTATATATTTATATTAAAAGAAAAGTTACATCCTTCTACACATTTTGCAATTATTATCTTTAGTTATGAATTACTCAAACACTATCACATTCACGTTTTTTACCACTTGCGAACTGCAGTAGTAGTAGTTATGCAGGTCCGCGCTCCGTCAACCTCACAAACGGCTGAGTGTGGAGCACAGCTGCTCAGTACAAAAATCTAATCGTCATCATTCTCTCCTCATTTGCAGTCAATTGTATTAGTATGAATGCGCGAAATTTTAAATTTTTTATATAGGAAGTAAATGAATAAAAAAAAATCTGGTTTACAAACTATTTGACGCTCTCTTTGCACAGCAGCGCACGAACTCACTTAAATTCAACAACTAAATGATAAACTAATTTCTAAATTTACAAAAATATACAAAACTTAAAATCAAAATATTTGTGTCGTCGCCACACTCCACTAAGTACCTTTGCGCCTATAATGTAAGGAACGTCTCTCTGTTTCTAGTCGCTGACTCGTTTTACACGTCAGTGCCGCAGCCTTCCTGGTAGCCCTCGTCCGGTGAGTTGCGGCTGCTGCTTGTCAGTGCGCGCTTCAAAGCCGTCACCGGTGGCAGCACTGGTACCCCACCCTTTTGCCACACGCGTATTGTCTTGGCATTCACCGGCTGTCCGTTCGGCAGTATTGAAGTGTGCGCTTGTCCCATGCCGTTTTGCGTCACCGTCACCGCAACTGCAGTCGACGCTGGTGTGGGTGAAGATCTGGAGCTGCTGAGTCCAGCGCCGCTGCTGCTGCTGCCGCTGCCGCTGTGCTCGTGCAGGCGTGGCAGTGTTCTGCTACTGAAGTGTGGACTGCTGTGGTTGCTGCTGTTGCCGCTGCCGCTGGCGCTGCCACCAAGACCATGTTGGCTCGCCACTGCTGCCGTCATATGCTGTTGCAGTTGTTGTAGTGGATGCATTTGCAGGTGATGGTTGTGTTGGTGCTCGGCGCCGGGCACCAGTGGTAGGCCATAGTCATTAGGATAGCCACCGCCCACATACGCGCTGGATGAGCCTGAGAGATTGGTGGTAGTTGTTGAAGCGGTCGAGTGGGTGCCGCCCATACCACCGTTCGAGTTATGTAGCAGCGCTGCCGTTGACGTGGATGGAGTGTGCAACATGCCGCCAACCCCACCACCATTACTCCCGTTGGTAGACGCACAACCTCCGGCCAACTGCAAGTTGTTGTAATGCGTGCGTGGAAATGTTTTGCTGAAATAGTCGACGGTGCGCTCATGCAAATCGTAAAGTTGGTTCGATTCAATGATAGGCGTTTTGTCGGTGTAGCGCTTCATGAAGAGATCGTCCGCGGAAGAGGTGCCCGCTGGCGTATTCTCCCACAATCCAGAGGGATAAAGTGAGTCACAACCGCCAGCGCGACTGTATTCGCCACTAGAGTTGCCCAGTTCGGTGCCCAAATTAGCAGTTAGTATCGCTGGTATTTTCAGATCAGCAAACTCATCGCTACCGAAACGTTTTGTGTCATTAATGAGATCTGGGTTGTTGCCAGCCGATGCTGTAGGCGAGAGGTAGCATGGCGCCGTAGACAAAGCACTGCCATTGTTGTCGTAGCCAGTCGATGAGTATGGCAAGTCCGTGAGGCGTGGCGGTTTCTGCACCGGATTGGTGAAGCCACCCTCGTTCGCGGACATCGCTGCGCTGCTCTTCCGCTCTAGCGTGCCTGATGTGTCTATACAGTTCGGTATTGCCCCATTGGCTATGACGACGCCGCCTATACTGCCATTCCCGGTAATGGGTTGAGTTTTGTTCGTTATGGAGTTTTGATGGTTGACACTAGTCACCACTTCCATGTGGTTGGGTGTTTTGCTTTCGGTGTACGGTTGCCGCTTAACACGCATGAGTAGAAACATTACCGCGAGCAAAATACATACAATTAGAACTACCAAAGCAGCACTAAGGCCCACAATTTGACCACTACCTAGTGATGCCATGCCTGCGGCGCGCATACTTACATGCAGCGTAAAGTTGGCCTCAGCTGTGCCCGCACGATTCTCCGCCACGCAGTAAAACTCACTGGAGTCTGTTTCCTGCGCATTGGTGAGTATCAACCGCGAATGTTTCTCAAAGTGGCCGTTCTCGTAGATGTGTACACGTTGATAAGAACTGAACGCGCTGTTGTTTGTCAATAGTCGGCCATTCCAATACCAATTTATAACGGCTGCCGGAATGGCTTTAGCACGACATACTACCGAAGCGTTCTCGCCCATCGTCGCCTCCACATAATGGCTGATAGGCAACATTTCCGGTCGGCATGCAAAATCCTCTACTTGCAGCTCGGAGAAAGTCCGATCTACGACACGCTCGGGGCCACCTGCACATAACGGCGCTACGGGATATGGTATGTTCTTTTGGGTCAGCCAGAGTTTTGCATCTCTCATGCGACAGTCACAAAGCCATGGATTGTCGTGAAGTTCAATGCCATGTAATTTGCTCAGTGTTTCGATCGTGCGCGGCTGCAACACACCCAGTTTGTTGCCGTTTAATCGAAGCAAAGTTAAACCCTCCAAACCATCGAAAGCTAGCGGTGCTATGGACTGTATGTCACAGTGCGACAGATCAAGCTTGTGCAGCGATGGCGTGCTGGCGAACGAGTTCGACTCGATCTTGTGTATATGATTGGAAGCGAGCGTCAGTTCACGCAGCGATGAGATATAGCTAAGCGCCAGCGATGGCACGACAACCAGCAAATTATGCGACAAGTCAAGTTCAACGAGATTGGTAAGTCCTTTAAATGTTTCCGGTTCGATTTCACCAATTTTGCAACTGCGCAAATACAACTTCTGCAAATTGAGCAAATTGGCGCGTATGAATTTCTCATTCGACAGCGTTTGCAACTTATTGCCAGACATGTCCAGCACTTGCGTTGACGGATCGATGTTCTCGGGTATCTGTATGAGCTGACGATCGATACACTCCACCGTCTGTTTGCCGCCCTTCCACTTGCACGCGCACACCGTCTGACAGCTGCTCAAATGCGGTTGGTGGTGCACGATTAGCGTGTTGTCGGCGGACGTCGAATGCGTGTGCGTTAGGTATGGTGGTATTATCGGTGGTGGTGAAGCAGGTGGTTTGCCAAATTGTGCCATATAATCATCGGTCATGGCCTGACTATCGGCCACCGAGTAAACATCATTGTTCATGTTGGCATGATGCTTGCCAGCTGCGGCACCGCTGCTCGCGTACGCTGTGTTGGCATCAAGAGGAAAGTGTGGCGTGGGCAGGCTATTGGCGCCACTTGCGGCGCCGTATGAAATGTGGCCCTGACTTTGGCGGTTGAAGCGTGTGGCTAGCGACCTAGGTGGCTGGCCGGTTAGCAGCAGTGAGGATAGGAGTAATGGCCACAGTGGAGGCAACAGGCGCGATGTTGTGCGATATTTAATGCGACCTTGTGGCTGTCGTATGTTTTGATGTTGGTGGTTTTGTTGAAGCGTTGTGCGTTGCTGCCGATGACTGCAGTGGCAGGTGATACACTGTTGTCGCTGTAGTTTTTGCATGATTTCTGTTGTTTTAAGAGCTGCCTCAGCTCTTACTTGTGTTAGATATGTGAGTTTAAGTATTTTTTATGCACATGAATGCATGACTTGTCTCTCTTTGGATATATGGTAATATGTATTGAATTTTACTTGGTAGCTCTCGCATGAGTCCTTCTTACAGTTCTGTTCGCCGCGCACATTTATGTATATGCATATGTGTTTATTTTAATTTCTAATTTCAAAGAGAGTTAGGTTAACTGATTTTTTCATTCTAATTGTTTATTATTAATGTTTGTATTTTGGTTTTTTTCACTGGCTTTCTTGCGTGGTCAAAAAGCAGCAAATCGCGCAGTCTGTCTGCTACAAGTTGGAGATTAATTAATAATTAATACTTTCATTCAAAATATTCGGCACGCGATATGTTTTACGCGAGCTACCCGACTAGGTTAGAGAAGGGCGTTTAAGGTCGAGAAAATAAATTTGAAAATAATTTGATTTCGTAAAAGTATAGAAATTGTAAAACGCTTTCTCGCTTGTCTTTCGCAAACACTTTATCGCGTAAGTGGCTTTCAGTTGTTGATTTTAACTCGCCCGCATAAACCGCATCTTCCACAAGGTTTCAAATCAAAAAAAAAGTTTGACACAGCGAGCAAATAAAATCAAAGCTGGCGATGATGAGCTATACGTCATTTGCAGTTTTTTTTTTCGTTTTTAGGTTTCGTTTCAAATTTAGCTGTTCACGCGAAAGGATAGCTGTGTCTGCTGCGCGTAGCTGTTGTTATTGTTTGCATTGAGTCCTCTTATTTAGAGGCTTGTATTTGCTTTTCGCACACAAACTTTGCTTCCAACTTTCTAATTAGCACAAAGCACGCGTTCTTGCGTTACGCGCGTGTCCTTCTCACCACCTTTTTTTTATATTTTTGCTTTGCGGTTTCACTTTTGTTTAGATTTTAGCCAATTTTAGGCGCACAATGATGTGTGTGCAAATGCGTGTGTGGGTGTGTATATTTCATGAGTTGAGTGTCTGGTGCTTGTCGCTTTTCACAATGGTCGTAATCCGTCTGATTTTAAAGGCGTCAAACATGATTTTCACACATTTCATTTTTCATTTTAATTTTTTACGATTTTTTTTCATAGCCTTTTTGCTTGATTTTTGTTTGGAGCAAATGTTTGGTGAAATTGATTAATCTCGCAGGATTCGTGAGTGACGTGTTTGCACGTGTACAACGCAGTTTCGGCCACTGGTACGCATAAGTGTGGCGTAGCGTCCGTTAATGTATTAACTTGCTAATTTCATGTTTCGCAGCAATTAACGGATTCTAGAACTACAAACGTTTGGACATTCAGATTTCGCGCCACGGTATAAATTTGCATGAGCCGACTAAATTTAGTACTCCTGCCAACAGCACTTGGCTAGTTTCGGCAGTTAAAGTACAATATTGAACCTTTGGGAACTCATTTCATTTCACGATTGTTGCTGTTGCGCGTGTGACTCTTAATTTTTTTTCTGTAACATGCGCTGGTCAATAGCACGCGATTTTGTATTTCACTTTATTTGTTGTTGTTATTTGAATATGATATTCTTAGCATGCTAGCCACTAGTAGTTTGAGATACTAACACACACGCACCGTACTTTAGAGAAGGATGTGAAATTTCCACACCCCCTTTCAGCGCCACACCGTTGCGTACGACGTGAACGTGTGGCCAAACTTATTTCCCGAAAACTAGGCACGTTACTTTACTGGCTTGTTGACTGGCTAACGGACTGCCTAACAGCCTGCCAGCCTATTTGCTTTTCAACTTCGGCTGTTTGCTTCGTTTGGCACAATTTCGCCTTTAACGATTTTTTACTTCGACACGCTGTCGTACATTTCATTCAGTAAATTACACGAATATTCACGAAAATTTTTACTAAGCTTCCTTGGCGTTTACATGCATAGAAAATCCGATCAACGCATATATATGCATTAGCACCAGTAAATTTTCACAGTAGAACTTCAGGCTTTCGCCAGCGCTAAATAACCGTTAGGTACTAAAGCGCGTCACTTAATTTCACAATTTACTGCAATATTAATTGGCTCACTTTAATAATGATTTCATTACAATTGGCAATAAAACTTAATAACGCCGCTTACACGAATACACCCAACCGCTCGGCATGGTTAATCGTCGTGGACTGAAGAAAAATGAATTAAACGCAAACTCAAAATGCACCCTGCTAGAGCACGACGACTGCGACGACGACAACACCGCCAATGCCAGTTGGAAGTCACGATGGCTGGAGCATGATTTAACGAAACGTGTAGAGTGTGCTGCTCCACACACATATTGGTAACGAATGTGCTACTCGAAACAAAAGCCGCTCAATGCAAGCAGGATTTGCACACGCTCTGTACTAGCAGCTGCTGCGTGCACAGCTAAGCATTTGCGTGTATTGAATGTGTATGTGCGGCCGTGAGTACAACCACTGGAGACTTCTCTCTGCGCTCAATCTTCTGAACGAAGCGGAAAGTGAATTTGGTGAAGAGAACGCGCTCACTGGAAGTTATGAAGAAAAAGTGGTGGCGGTGGTGACAGTAATATTTCACTAGCGTGCTATACAACAAATTGACATATGCCGCAACATGTTGCGGAAACATTTATGTAAGAAGTTAAGCAACATTGTGTTTGGAGATCGAATAATGGATTAATATCAAGTATTGTAAGCATCATCACCAACGCCACAATATTTCTCAACACTTTGTAAATTGTTTCTTTAGATATCCGACAGGCAGAAATATTTGTACGTGGTTCGTACGCCGACGTAAAGTTATGTTGGGCTGCATAACTAGAGTCAAGGAGTCAAAAAAATGTACAAATGAAACTTATTGGCTTACAAATTGTAATAGCATTGACTAGATGGAAATCTAATAGAAAGGAAGTATGTATATTTACAGTTATATACAGAAGCCGTTATCAACATGTTGCTTAGCCAATTTAACATTGTCACGATTATCGAATCAGCATAGAAGTTCATGCAATTTCGTGTTAAAGTTACTAACTAATTGTTATTAATTAAAATAAATATGAGGCATCATTAAAATAACTAAAAATAATTTATATAAAAGAATATATAATATCTGTTCTAATAGGTGGCAATTTTTTAAAATTCACACTCATTATAAAGTTCAACTTCAGTTTGTGAAATTAATTGCTTTCATTGCTTTTATACTCTCTCAATTACTAACTAGCTGGAATTACACAACTAAATTGTAACGAACTTACTCGGACTTCAAAGGCAACTAGCCAACGAGAGAGTGTAGTTGAGCGCAATTCCATATTGGAGATTGGCGAGCAATTTCATGCATCACTTCATAAATCGCAACCGAATTCGACACCCACTAAATCCGTAAACCAAAGCAAATAGCATATGTATGTGTGTTTGTATATATATATATATATATGTATACGCAGCACAAAAGAGTAAAGGCGCATTCATGTACAACTTTCCGCGCTTTGCGTGACAGTTCATACCGAAACAATGAAGCGTAGCAAACAAAGGGCAAGCTTTGCTTTCAGTGTTTTTCACTAATAAAAATAACGATTGTTGCTTGGCAAAGCGTAAAAAGATGCGAGTTGCCCAACATTTTGCTTGGCTTCGCATCGAAAACTTTTTATGTGAATCTACGCATACAAAAGCAAACTGACGCAAAGCGAAGCAAACGCTCACTATGAACTGGCCATAAGGTAATCGGTTGAGCGCAGAGGAATAGCTCGGCAGAAAAATGTTTTTTGCTTGGAAGCTGAAGCGCGGCAGCTATTGCTTGCAACATGCATACTCACAAATACGTATGTGTGTATGTTTGCGTTAAGTCCTGCAGCTAGGCCAAAACGTGGCAAGAATTTGCGTGCTGCTGTTGCTTGTTGCAACTGCCACAGCCACTTGACTTACTCCCACAGCGGCTGCCGCTACAACTTTACACAACGTGCTGCTTTTATTACTTTACTACTTTAATTGTTGTAGTTGCTCTATCAGACAACGTAGCTGTCAATATTTGCTGCAATTGCAATTGTTGTTGTGGCTGTAGACTAGTTACTGTTGTTCTGCAGCATTGTGTTGTTGTGCTTTTCTACCGGCGAGATTTCTAGTTAGTTAGTTTGTTCATGCCCTTCTTGTGCTGTGTTAAGTTGAGTTGAGTTGAGTTGCGGTGAGGGCGGCAACAACAACAGCAAAAGCAAAACAATTTGTTATTTTCACATTTTCTAGGCAACTGGGCTAATCGATTTAGTGTAGGGATCAACGCTTTCGTGGCCGCATTCAAAATGACAGCAATGCGCAGGTGTGCAGGTAGTGCGGCAAGTGCGGAGGCACAATAGCGCAAAATAACAGTGTCAGACGTGGTTCTCTGCCTTTCTTCTGCCTGCCATTCTTGTGCCTCGATTTTCATTCTGCCTCCGTTTTTCTCTGCTTCGCTTTGATTGTTTGACAAAATGAAGTTTTGTCATTGGCACAACACTTGTTGCTGTTGTTGTCTGCTTACGCCAGCGTTGGTGTATTGAACACCTTGCCAGCATTTGTTGTTGCTGCAACGCCTATTCTCCGTTTTTCAATTACATTCCGCAACCAGTCCATCTCTATTCAGGCCTCTTGTAGCACAATTTCTTCTTTCCCCCCGCAACGATTCATCCGATCGCCAACGAGTTCGATTACTTTTGCTACTGATTTACTTATTTTTTCATTACACCTTTGCTCTGGTTGCTTGCAATTTGGTGAGACAAAAGAAAAAGGTCAAGCACTAGAATACGTTTGCTTGTAGTGGCTGCAGCGGATATGGCAGCTGCAACAATAATAGGAAAATTGTGTTGCGAAATCAATGCAACAGTAAGGCAAACAACAACATTTCGCACGAAAAGAAACGCTCGCAAAGCACGTAGAACAGGTTAAAATCACTTAATTGTAAATCTGTGTCAACATTGTGGATAACAATAGCAGCAATAGCAACAACAGCAGCATTCAGCGTGAATGGTAAGCAATCGAGTAGAGTAACGAGGTGTATAGGTGAAGATTTAACAACAATTAAACAGAAAAAAATTATATCGTGTAGCATTTGCAGTGCGTAACGAGAAAAGGTGAAATCTGCGCTCATAATATATTTCCAATTCAAACTGCTGCAAACTCTACGAAAGTACCATCTCCTTTGCAAATGTTGTTGATGCCTTCTTTCTCCCAAACTGTTAACCAAATGTGTCAAAATTAGTATATCACAATCACCAGCTCTTCATATAACGATTGCTATCAATTTTAAGCGAATATTTTACTACCATAAGATGCTGCTCGAATGGAATGCAGTGCGCTACAAGTAATTACTTAACCTAAAAAGTTCTAATCTATACTTTCCCAAATATAGAATAGCACAAAGCTAATTAACGCATTGGTATTTCAACATAAACTTCCATTTCTCATGTCTAGCAGCAAATTAGCCTTGCTCTCCACAGTCCAATTAGAATTTTGTCGTCCGCTAACAGCGCCGCACTGAGCTACACAAATTCACAGCGCAAATTCATAAAATTTTCGTGAGTTAACGCTCCGTTAATGCAGTTGACCTGCTATCAGCAGCCAATGCTAGTCGCTCATGCACAGGGATCATTTCCCCAGCGTATCGTCCAATGACTTACTTTGTACTGCGTAGACTTTAGTCTTCATGCACAACGGTTTATCATGACTTTAGCATACACTCACCTTTCATGCTGAGCACCTCTACAAGCATTAATACGTAAGTGCACCATGCATGTGTGCAGGTATATATGTATGCATGTGTTTGGGTATTTATATTTGGCTGTTTACTGGGTAGGCGGTCGAGTTCAATGCGCCGCGCCGCGCCGCTGGTGATACAGACAGTGGTACAGACTGCAAATCATTGATTGATTTAAGCCGCTCATCGCTTCAGCGGTCACTGACTTGCCACAACTGCACATACTACACACACACACACACAGATAAAAGTATTGGGGTTAGCCAGACTACAGCTGCAGTGAGTGTGAAGTGGTATGCGTGCATTGAACTCAGCAGCAAAAAGCGAAATGAAAAGTTACTCAGCACCAACCTACAACAAAACAAACGTACAAACGTGTGCATATATTATATATGTGTGATTACATAAATTACTGCCAAAAGTGTAGCGCACCAAATGGCGCATGTCTCGAAAGGCGCCGACTGCAGGCGTGGTATTCGCTTCCTATTAATTAATTAAGATAGATTACTGATTGCACTAACGGTTCTACAGTGAAAATCGTCTAAAAGAAAGTGCACACTTCCACTTGCAACCATTTGCGAAATGCTTAGAAAGGAATGATTTGAGCAGATTTCATAATTGCCGAAGTGAGGCGAATCATGATTTTCGAAAGTTTCGGCGAATTAAAACTAATTCGTCTTCAGCACTTTAAATATAATATTATATATAAAATAAAGTTGCTTTAAACTAAACTTTTCGAGGTTAATAGCAATTAAATATTGTGGTTACTTACTACAGGTCTGGTAAAAATAAATACATTATTCTGCAATAAATGAATTTAGTAAGCTGTAAGTCGCGTTGTATAAGTGCGAACGTGCGTTAGAAAAATAGTTAGACTTCGTATTCAGATAGTTTTGTGATTGCTTGCCTCAGTATTATTTGAGCAAGTGCAAAGATGAACACAGGCAAAAAGTCGAAAAAATCGAAAAAATAATGAAAATCGTCGAGTCGGATCGGCAAGTAAGCATTTTTTCCAAGACGCAGAAGTTAAAGACTGCACAAAAAATCGCTTGGAACCATTTAATTAGGACTGACTAAAAAAAAGCGTGATGTATGACTGCTACATGTGCTAACCGCAACAAAATCGACCCATTTCTGAAGCGGATGATTACTGTGTGTTTATTGGGTTTGGTAGGGAATGTGCCTGCCTGCCTACGGCCGAGCTCTTTATTTGGATCTTTACTGTCAACAATTGGATTATCGGTAGAAAGCAATCGCCTAGAAGCGTACAGCTTTGGCCAATATGAGACGAATTGTATTTCTTCACATTCACATTGATAGTGACTCGCCAGCAGCACCGATGGCTTGGTTGGGAGGTTTTTGTGAAAATATAGCTGTTTTTATATTTGATAAGTATATGTAAAAAATTTGAATATATATATATATAATACCTATATAGTACATATATATAAATAGTTAAAAATTGAATACATCGAGCATCAATTTAAAAAGTGTTTCACGTGATAAATTGGAACGC